CACTCACCTTTGCAGTAGATCTCCCCATCCTTGTCTGCCAGGGTGGTGGACTCCAGGCTTTTGCCACATTTGGCACAGCGGAAGCAGGACTTGTGCCAGGACTGTGGGACAGGAGCAGAGTCCGGTCAGACAACGCCCGGGGAAAGGGCAGCGATGCTTTGGCTGCCAAACCGGGTCACGTTTCTGTCTCTGACCCAAAGCGGTTGGCAAAGAGGTCTGAACAGGATGGAAGCTCTTCTCTGGAAAGAGCGGCCCTCCCAGCCCCGGGGGGAGGATACAGAGAGGAAACATCAGGTGTGGTCACTGCTCTGGTTTCAGAGAGCTTTCACCTCCGCTCACTGGAGTTATTGGTACAGGAATTCGTAAGCAGCAATCACCCCCCTCGTTGGAGATTGCTCTCTCTCAAGCAGCATGATAAATCCCCCCACCCCAGCTGAGCCCCACTGCTGCCCTGTGTCAGCCCGAGGGGTGGCAGCAGAGGGGGGGACACCTGCCCCTACACAACAACAGCTCCAAGGAAGGCAGTGAGCAGATCCTAAGAATGCAGAAACCAGCCAGTGGTTAAAAATAACCTCCCCCCCACAGCTTCGCCAGTCCTCTGGGGACAAATGAGCTCAGAGCCTTTGTGCAGACCTAGAGTAGCCAGAGCTGCTCACGGAGGAATTTAAATAAACACTTCGGAAAACATGAAACCTTTTTTGGAAGAAAATGCGAAATTAGGGGACTGGAGGAGGTGGACGTAGCAGATGGAGTCATCCAGCAAACATTAGGACATGAAATATACGCTCTGGAATCCTCTCTGGGGTTGCTTGAGTGTAATTGCTTTGCCAGCTTTGGTTCCCCATCAACACTGAGGCCAGAAGCCTACCAGGAAGCCCAGACCATGATTTTAAGGGGAAGTCTGGTTTCTGACCCTGGACTGACCCACAACGGGTCCATCACAAACCCCGGTGCTGCCAGGCAGGGTACGGTGATGCTGGGAGGCTCTTTCTGTTGACCAGATGCCTCCTTTCCTTGCTCTGGGGACGGGGGACAAACACAGAAGCCCCAGGGAGGACAGAGCACACAAGGGGTCAGGGAGTGACCCAGTGTCACCAGTGAGGCTGTGAGGCTTTCCCAGCACGGCTGTCCTGTCCCTTGTGACACAAAGCCAAGCAGCCTGACCCGGTGGCCTTGGGAATGTACCCAACCTCAGAGGGAAGGTTGTTTTGGGGCAGCGACCTCGCCCGGGGTCCCAGGACTGACAGAGCAGGTCTCCCCATGACCTTATAGAGGCTTCCCAGAGCTGGGCTGGGATGAGGCCACAGCTCAGGACACAAAGGACCCTGGTGAGGTAATGAATTTGACATCAGAAGGGCTGTTGCAGAGTGTCCTTTTATATCAGGAGAAAATTCTTCAGTGTGAGGGGGACAAGACTCTGGACTAGATTGCCCAGAGAGGCTGTGGCTGCCCCCTCCCTGGAGATGGTCAAGGCCAGGTTGGATGAACCTGGAGCAACCTGGGCTGGTTGAGAGGCGTCCCTGCCCATGGCAGGGGTGGGGTGAGATGAGCTCTAAGGTCCCGTCCAACCTTGGCCATTCGATGATTCTATGATTCTATGATCTGGCCCTGAGCAGATCCAGTCCACCAGCAGAACAGCCCAAGAGAGATTCCCTGAGCCCGTGTCCACACCTCCAACCACCCAGACCTGCCTATGGGCAGCACAACCACTGGAATTTATTCCCTGGCCCACATTTGGGCTGTGGCATCCCAGCCTGCAGCAGAGGGTGGGCAAGGCTTGTTGTTAGCGGTGGCAGTGGCCATGGCCCACATCACCGCTCATCCTCCCAGCACATCTATCAGCAGCGATGTCCATCGTGACCTCTGCTGAGCAGTGCTCCCAGTATTTTGTATAAAATGTATTTCCCTCCCATCCGCAAGTCTGTAGGAGCAACGCAGCCCGAGGAACTTGGTTTCCAGATGTGCCAAGACCTCCTGTGGATGCCGGGCTTCCAGGTGAGCACGGCCACTAGACCCCAATCCGAGCCCTGGCTGGAGGTTCTGGCATCCCAGCCAGCAGCAACCTATGGGTCAGGTCAAGACCACCTCTGAAGGTCTCCCTGCCACACAGCAACTT